TTCTCAGACTCCTTTTCAAAGGTCTTGTTACTTAGAGTATTTGCTTGGGAACACACAGAATTATGAGAGGGGGAAAAACTGTGCTGTGAGCAAAGTGTACGGACATGGTGATGAGGAGCATGAAGGGATGACAAGAATGGGGTAAGCAGGGGAGGGCAGTTGTTTCTGTTGTGGCCAGTTTTGCGGTGACATGGGGAACAGTGTCTGGAAGATGCAGAGTAGATTGGATGTGCAGGTGCGTTTGTTAGGTTCAAACTGCAAATGTATAAGAGCTGTAAGCAGTGGTATTTTCACTGGCCAGACTCATTTCATATGAGAGCTTCCTTGTACCCTGCTGTCCCTTCTCCTCTGTGATCCCTCTACAAACTTCCCACTCCCCTGTCCTAGTTCCCCCTGCCCCAATGTGTTCACCTCCCTTATCTGCTGTACCTCTGAAGCCTGTACTTGATAAGCTTTGTTTTCCCAAAACAATTCTAAAGCCCTTGTTCTTGTCCTCCACCTTTACAACTTTCCTGTCCTAACAGGAGGTAGCAGAGCCTTGTCTGGCTCCATGACCTTTCTCCTAGGGCTCTGCACAATACACTCCCAACATGTGCCATCAGATAATGTATCTCCATCTCTCTTCACCCTCTTTTCTGCTGCAGCACTGTTTCCTACTGTCAGGGCTAATGAGGTCATGGCTCTCAGTGCTTTTCTCATCCTTGCTCTGGCTCTTATGTATTGCCCATCACTGTTGCTGCAACTTCCCAAATAACTCTGGCTCTTCTGTCACTCCTTGAGTTCTTCCCCTTATTTTTCTTTCTCTCTGCTTTTAAAAACACTATAGTGAAAGTAAGAAAGTTGTGAAGACAGAAGACCAATTTTAGCCGTGGTAAAAGCAAATGCAGCTTCTGTTTCTTGGGCGTTATGTTTGCTAACTCCAGAGTGAGTTTAGCCTGTAACTGGTGCTGTTTAAAACTGTGGCAGGCAGAATTTGCATGTTTGCTTTCAAGGCAGCTGTGATAATAGCAGCCTAAACAGTTGCTCTTTCTGGGTCTTCTTTGCAAAAATGCTTTACTGTATCCACTGGAGAGGTGATTTGGCACAATGATGTTGCCCCTGCATAAGGACAATATCCTAGGCTGCTCACAGGCACTGGATCCAAAGCCTCATGGTGCACCTTCTCCAGACTGTTGCATAAACTCAGATGTGGAGGCCAAGTGGCAGCCCTGTGCGTTCCAGCCTCCTGCAGTCTCCCATAAAGAAGAGTCTCCCAGTTGGTGTAGCTGCCTGGTGACTTTGCTTGAGCAGCAGTAAAATCCACAGCTAGGATATGCCACAACACAAGTGTGCCAAGAATGTGTCTTGATGACATACAGTTTTTCATGACAGTGTGTATGTGATGAGCTCTTAATTAAAGGCTCCTGCTAACAGCTTAGTGCTTAGACTCAAATACATTAAAAAAGTCCTAGCCTTAGGTTCACAGAATCGTAGAACAGCTTGGGTCTCAAGGGATCTTAAAGATCATCTAGTTCCAATCTCCCTTCTGTGGGCAGGGACACCTTTCACTAGAACACATTGCTCAGAGCCCTGTCCAACCTGGCCTTGAACACTTTCAGAGATGGGGCAACCTGTTTCAGTCTGTCATCACCCTCACATTTTCTCCTAATATCTGATCTAAACCTATTCTCTTTCAATCTGTAGCCATTTCCCCTTGTCCTTCCCCCTTTCCAACATGCCCTTGGAAAAAGTCACTCTCTGTCTTTCTTGTAGGCTCCCTTCAAGCACTGGAAGGCCACAACTGGGTGATCATGAAGCCTTCTCTTCTCCAGGCTGAACGATCCCAATTCTCTCCAAGCTCCAATTCTCGAAGACAAGCTTGCCCTGTAGCTTTCATGACACTGTTATTGAAGTATCTGAGAGCGGGCAGCTAGACCAAACAGGATGTTGAAAGCCTTGAAATAGTAAATAGCATTTGCTTGTGACATCCTTCTTCTTTGGGATTACTTTGGGAATTGGATTTTTTTTTTTTTTTGAAAGGGATGAAAAATCAGTCTTTTTTGCAGTACTACTGATATCTTGTTTTTTTCCTCCATTATGAGACAAAGCGAGAGTTTAAGTGGTAGCCTGGCACTTCCTAGGGCTGTGTTCACATTAAATGGAAAAGGTCTGGGTTGTCGGTGGCAGATTTCCCTCTGTGCATCCCAGACTGCATCAGTCATCTCCCTTTTACAGTGTGCAAAACCTCCCCACCTAGAAGAAAAAGTACTCAGATAAATATCTGTAACTTAAAACATCCCTACAGTGGTCTTCCCCCCCCCCCCCACCCCCGCAGAAAATGTATTATCTGTCCAACCTTTAGAATGTACAGTTTTACGGGATAGACAAATCTACTTGAGTTTTAAGTGACAGCACTGGTTTTCTCTAAGTTCTCACCCTGCATTTTAATCTTCAGTGAAACAAAATAGTTAGCTTTATTTGGCATGTTTATAAGCAATCAAGACTACCAAAGTGCTTTCTGGTTGAACTCAGTAAACCCTCAGCTTTGTGTAATTGGGACTGCAGCATGACAGAGAGTTCTGTTATGGCTTCACATATTGATCAGTCCAATTTAATTTCCTCAGGGGACCTGGACTACGCTAGGGATGGGGGATTGTGTTGAAGGCTTGATAAGCCTATTTTAACAAAGCATCTCAAGGGCTTCTGGAACAGAAGCAATTATCAATACTGATACATGTTTCCTTTCATCAAAAGGTAAGGGCTCATTAATAAGCTGCACAACAGCTGCTGTTTGCAACATGACTTTTTTTTTTTTTTTTTAATTAACTTGGAGATACTGCTTCCTCAGCTTTACCAGTTTCCAGAAAGAAAAGAAATTGCGTTGCAGGTTTTAATTTTAGTGGTATATGTGATAGCAGTATCTTCTGCATTTCTATATTCACTATTTTGGTAATTGAAGCCTAGATTACATTTTAGAGAGGTGGTTTCATTCCACTAATTCTGCCCATGTCTGAATTACCCACACTAACAAATTTCGGTGTTTTGCAACTTTTGAATTGTTTGTCAAGTTACTGATGGCGTCTGCTATTTTAATGTTAGTATTATTGATTAGATAGTCTCCTGTTACAGCTCTGGAAATCAGCATTCTTGTTTGTCATTGGATATTTCAAAAATGTTTTTAAATTGTGTTTATTTTAGGCTCTCAGTTATGAGAAGGAAGTTCGTTGTTGCTTCCCACTCTTTTATCTTTCCTATGCAAAAATCTTAGCATTTCATTTATAACCTATTTGATGTAGGTGTGTTGTGGGTGTTAAATTCATACTGCTATTTAATGTTGCAAATTGGATGTATGGAAAGAAAACATCATCAAGGCAAACTGCTATGTTAAACTTGATTTTAAGCACAGTTACTGAATAGAAGTTTAGTTCCTTACAGAATGGCTATCCTTAGCTAATAGCAGTTGCTTTTGGTTTGTTTATTTACCAATAAACAATTTAAACCATTTAACACCTGCTATAGTGTTTTCTGATTTCTTTTTCATTTCACACACATTATCTCAATAATTAGCGTGGTTCTGCTCATTAATGCATGGATTGAAAGTAGTAGCTATACATTCCAGGGAAATTGGAAAAAACCCTTTGTTTCTAAGCACAGATGAGTGTGGATGTGTGAAACAGAAAAAAAAGGGAAAGGTAGATGGATTACACCAAGTGTAATTGACCAATGAAGCAAATTCTGTACTGTGCTCAAAATCCTGTATTTCTTGTTTGGTGGATCATGCTAAGTGGCACCTTACCTGATTTTTCTTCTTGTCTTGATGTCTAAACTTCCAGAATCATTTGTTCAAGGGAAAATTAGAGTTTTTATGATAAAATAGAACTATTTAGCACTGGTAATTGTTGCCTAAAATTGCAAGTGTTTCTTAGGAGGTCAGAAATAGGAAGTTGAAAAGAAATACATTTTAGTTATTTATGTATTCTAGAATTCTTTTGAAGTTGTGACTCAACCATTACTGGAATTCCTGATACTGAAGATCCCATAAATGTTTAATGGGAAATGGCTAGAACCATTACTGTTTAGTGTCACTTCTCTCCCCCGGTTAGTCATGACTGAAGTGTGAAGATGAGTGGGTAAATTACCTTCAGCAATAATTAATTAAGAATAATTACCTAGTTTTGCAAACACTAGAGCACTGAAAGAACAATAATGGTGTGACAAATACCCTAAACTTACCTAATATTAGGTATATTCTGGATTCAATTCTTCAAACATACTGATGGGGCCAATTCAGACACTCTTAGTGATGTGATGGAGCCAACACGCCAACAAGTAGCTCCTTTGATTTCAGTGGCCTATAATCCTTATTAAAACTGTGCAGTTCAAAGTGAAAGTTCATTGTCCCAGATTAGTGGGATTAAGAGCAATTTCATCTTACTTTAGGCCTTTACTTACTTCCCTGCTCCTTAATTCTCCAGCCATGTTCCTCTTGTCGAGGTCTGTTCCATGCAACAGTCACTGTAGCTACCTGCTCAAACCATTGCACAGGGCAAAGGAGCAGAGGCTGCTTTTTAGGAAGGGGCTTTACTTACATTCGTATTTTAAAGGTCATTATTACAATATGTAGTTGGTTTGTGCTACAGAATAGATATTTAAAAATGAACTATTTTTATGAACATACAGTGCTGAAAAAGGATGGGAAAAATGATGGGAAAAAAATCAATTATCTGATTCTAAAATGGAAGAAAGATAAATATTATAATGCATGGGACTGTTCCCTATACACAGAACATGTGTTAATTAAATATTTTCTGTGTAACTGGAATATGTGTTAATTAAATTCTTACATAGTGGGACAGTAACGCTGTTTATCATTGATTTTATACCTTAATGATATGCTTAATTACATTCCTCACTAGTTTTAGAAACTGAGGCCATGAAATGTGAAGTTGTTTCTTTTTGTAATAAAGTAAATTACCTTATATTAAGTAATGCTATTTATTATTTTATCCTTAAATCTCTAGGTGCTGAAGTGTTGTATATGAACATGTCAGCATATAATGAAGGTCGGCTTCAGTCATCTTTCTGGATTGTTGATAAACAGCATGTATACATTGGAAGTGCCAGCCTAGACTGGAGATCGTTGGGACAGGTAATTTAATTGAAAAAATAATCCTATACCCTTGGAGGGTATAATGAGGAAAAAAAAAAAAAAGAAAAAGTAGTGTTTGGAAGCCACTTGGATAACTCTATTTTCTGAGAGTTTACTGGCAAAGGTGCCAGCATCAAAAACTGTATTGCCACAGTTCTGATGACTCTGCTGTGTTGGCTAAAGTATATTACTATAAATTTTGCTTCTCTTCATTGCAACAGCTCTCTTCCATGGTTATGCTTAGATTTTAAAAATTTGATTGCTTTTATCCATTTCTGTGTATTGTAAGTTCCAGTTTAGTTATTTTATTAAAGAAAAAAAAATAAAAATTGAGCAAACCTTCTAGCAAACAAACCACTATGGAAACTCTTAGGTCATATCATGTGAATGACCTCATCTCTCTGAACTGCCATTCAAAAAAGCAAAACTAATATTTGGACGGACTTCCACATAGATAGTGGGTATTGTCCTGGAATACCCACTGCTTTTGGAGAGGGAGGGATTTGACAGAAAGTCAAATAGTGTAATGTTTTTCAAGGCTGTATGTGTTAGAGAGAATTCCATATTTTTATTCTTGATAAACATCAGAGTTGAAGGCCTCTGCCAACAACCAGTGCTGCAACTATTTTGAAGAAGTAGTTCATCAGTGATTCAGCTTATTTGGCTTTTTGTAGGTATCCATGTGTTTTTTCTTTCTGCAACAGTCTCAGGGTTATTAACGGCTGTCATGTTCATTTTTGCTATACCACTGACTGTGTGAGGTTGCTGTCAATCACATTTATGGAGTGAAACCTGTGCTTTTAGGTCTCAGTAACTGAAATGCATAACAGAGGAGGGAAAGAAGCGGTCCTAGGTAGGTAGTTATTAGTTGCAGTAAAAATGCTTACTTTCTAAATACAAGCAGACTCTGAGAAGCACAGGAATAACCATGAACATAGATTCTAATGACTTTGTAAAGAAGAATGTGTGTTGATTGGGTTGAATGTTTTGATCTAAGAGACTGAATAAAAACAAATCACCGTTTTAGTAAAGGAAGAGTGGATACATGCATTTTTGCTGTTCCTATTATATTAATTTATTTAAAAGGTAACCTTTTGAATGTTTACAAAGGAATCTGGAATATTGGTAGAAAAGAGTATATTGTTAGCAAACTAGAAAAAATCTTGGCTGAGAGGATGTTGTATTTTCAGTCAATGTAAGAACATACAGTTTGGGCTCTTGGACAGTTTAGAAAATGTTTGTAAATTGTCTGTGCCTCATGAGCTAACCTATCCTCATGTCATAACAAAATAGCTTGTCACAGGGTTTATTTGGCTTATAAATATTTTAGCTTTGAAGCCCCTTCTAACTGAGGCTTTGAATACTGGTGAAAATAATAAATGTGAACAAAAGAAGCACATCTAACACACAGATTACTATTTATGTACTTATGATCTTTATCAGAGATGCTACAATTCCATATAGGATTGGTCTTCTCATCCTGAAGTAAATCTTAAACCTTGTAATATAACTATGTTAAATTTTGATGCCAGTTACTCGTGGGCCAGTGTTTCAAATGGGATTCCTCACTGTTAATTTTATCACACTTTTCTGCATGCATTTTCTTGAATCTTGTTGCCATATAACAGTATATTTTTATATGTAGTTATAAGATGAAGCCCAGAAGAATATTTGGTAAGAGCAAAAAGAAATCTCTCTGAATTACAGTAAAAGAGAATCTGCTTTCAATTAGTTGAGAAATGTATGCTGGGGCTTCAGAAGAGCCTAAGGAAATTAGATGCTTGGCTCCTGTTGATGTTAGATATGAGTATCCAATTCCCTTACTCCAGAGTTACAAGTTAACCTGTCAAAGAGATCTGATATGCCTTCCTAAAATAATAATCTGTCTTGAACTTTTCACATAAGAAGCAAAATAAGCTTCGAACTGTTGTCATTTTATTCTGAGTGCTTTCCTTAAGCAAAATGCTTCACACATGCGTGGGACCTTATCTTAAAACCCACGGTGAGCTGAGCCTTCATGGGGGATACACATCTCCCAAGGGTTCTCATTACCAGAGTCCCAGTGTGGCTGCAAATGAAGGATCCAGGTCCCTCTTTTCTTCTCTCAAAGCAACCTAAATGAGTTAGGACTGAGTACCTGGTAAATGGCGGAGCAGATAGTGCCTGTCCTGACCCATGTCCTTGCACTTGCCCTGCCTGCAGTAGTGGGATAAGGCTTCTGCAGTTTTGCAGCAAGAGGTAGGGGGCTCGCTGCGGATGCCACTGCATGTTTCCCATTACATCCTGTTTTGCCTGCAGGGAAAGGACCATGAAAAGACAGCCTGGGCTGTTGATTAGTTGCATATGGTCTCTTTGTTGGACTTGCAGAGTATCAGAACTGGTGATTATTGAAACAGCAAGCCACTTTGGCCAGTATTACTAGATCTTGACAGCAAATCACAGAACAAAGTAGGTCTCTCCTATTCTAGAAACATATGATACTTTGGCCTGTCAAGCACAGCAGTTGTCTTCTCACTCAACAAAATATCCAGTGTGAGTCAGTCACCTTGTAGCTAACAGTGTCTCATTATTTATCAGCAGAGTTCCACTGTAAATTATGTGACTGCATCCATTTTCACATCTAATAATATATAAAGTGTAATGAAAAGCTTCAGATTTTAACTGTACATGGTTGTCATATCTTTTCACATGCCTTCCCCTGTATTTTCTGCATGTGCTGCTTCCTCTGTGGTGAAGCTTTGCATAATTCAGGCCAGTGCACTGCATAATTCATACAGGAGCACTTACCTGCTTCACTGGTGTGGCAACCATGCTAAAGATGCAGCAGGTCTCTATGGTACCTCACCCTAGGCTATAGTTCCAGAGTAGACCTACATCTTGCTTCCCAAGGGCCTGAGATGTAGAAATGCTTCTGTGACGTGGAAGGACAGAGCGTTTGACATATGCGAGTGCTAGAGAATATTTACACAAAGTTACTGCAGGAGATATGACTGGGGCTCACTGTTATTTTGTCCCTTTGCCTGGGCCTCAAAAAAAAAAAAAATAGTCTGTTAGCATAATTTGTCTCTTATGAGGCTAGATCTAAAGCTTAAACAGCGATTTAACTTTTAACAGCTCCTTGGAAAACAACATCAGGACTTACATGCTTTGGCTTTGCAGTGTTTGTGGAGAATTCTTCTCTGTGTTTATAAACTGGACACTAGAAATCAATCTCATATGAAGCTCACTGAGCTTTGTTGCCATTTTCTTGACTTGCCAGCACTGACAAGAAGTAATACAAGTATTTTCTTTAAAACTAAATTTTCCACATCAAGGAGAGATTTTCATATGCTGCATATATTACTTAGGAATAACCTTTAAAGTTACATTCTTGTGCCTCCACTGTCAAAGTTTTAATACTTGCCAGACTCTCAGCTTTGAAATTATAGATAAGGCTGAGAACACTTCCTTACTTTTCAAGTAAAACTATGTTTCAGTTCAATTGTCAGTTTGTCAAAACTAGTAATTCTAGCTGAAATCATGTGTGCCAGCTATCTGCTTGAGTTTGAAATCAAATCCCATAGGCTATGGGGGTTTAGAGTCCCTGAAAACAGGATTTTACAAAAACTGGATGTTTTTTCATTCGTAGTGAAATATTTTGATCTTTTCCTCAAACAGGTCTAAATTTTGTGTCAGGAAGGCATCTTTATCTGTTGTTATCAATATAGCCAAATATTGCCCAATTACATAATTGATTGAAAATTGAAGGTTATGAACAACCAGAGCTTTTTGCCCCTTTCTTAGGTCTAGTAAGCTAGGTAAGATTTTACCAGTGAAATAATCTGGTTTCTTGCTGGTAAATTTTTCATAAACTGATAAAATGGTGCAAAATTTGTATAAACAGTGTGTCTTATGAGTTTACCAGCTTGATGAAGGACATCTGGAGAGATGGTCTCTAATTCTTTGTGGTGCCATTCTGACTTCAATATGTCATTTATGGGGGGCACTAGAAGAGGAAAATTATTAAGCTAACATTTTAAATTATATTTTGAGCTTTTTATTTCATGTAGGAGATGTATGTGATCAACTGTACAACTTCGATCTTGCATTTCACTGACATGCATTTGGTAAGGGATGCAATTGATAAAGTATTTTCCCAGAGTTCCCAGACTCTCACCTACTAAGAAGTTGTTCTTATGACCACTGAACAAGCCAAGGAACATCTTTGGGCCATAGCTGTGCAACCTACTTAAGTATATATTTAAGATAACAATGTGTTGAAGTCTTTGTGGCTTTTTTCTGCAAAATGCATGCATCTATGTTAAAATGTTTGGCTGAAAAATGAGATCACTCAAACATGCCTAAAATTGAGTATGTATACTGATTAATTTTTGCCTATAGCTTGAACTAATAACAATCGAGATAGCTATGGTGCTATATTGTAGTTATTAGTTCCTTGACCTTAATAAGGTAGCTTGTTAATATATTTAATAAAAGAAAATTGTTACATAACAATTTTTATAATCTATAATATTAATGCAGCACAATAGTTAATAAAATTTTTCATTTATATCGTTTGTGCCATGACTCCCTCCAACAGTTCCAGCAAAGCTTGAAAATGCATTTCGCTCCTTAATTCAGTTAACGAGCATTAGGTTTGTAACACATACCCAGTTTTAATCAGCTCAAGAAACACTTCTGGAGCTCTTTATACTAACAACATTTTTGGAAAAGTTTTATTCACACATGAATAATCGAATCCAGTGGGCAAAAAACTGTAATGGATTAGCTGAACCACTTCAGAAAAATACATTTATGTGCAACAAATAATCAGCTCTTGGAAAATTCTGCTACTGAAAATTACTGAAACAAGTAAAAGTAATCCAATTGTCTTCACTTGAAGTGAAATCAGGCTACTATTAACTTGTCTTGTAGGGGGAAAAAAAAAAAAAAAAAAAAAAAAAAAAAGCTTAAATCATGAATACTAACAGGTTCCGGGTAGTTGAGTGTATGTGTGGAGG